AAATTGATGATTTGAATGCATACGATTGTGACTATCTGATTATTGTTACTGAAAGACAAGTGAAGACTGGTTGAACCGTTGGTTGGAGATCGACTTGACCTGTACAGGATGGTGGGCCGATGGGCTTTCCTTTAAAAAGGGTTTGGCGATATCCTCTATTGATCATTGATATAACGATTGGGAGGCATAAGGAGATTCTTATGCCGACGGGCACAGAGTGATGACTCTTATTGAACCAACAGATAAATATTATTATGGATTGAAAAACGCCTTAATAGCCAGCGATGTACTTGTTCAGTAAGACTATTGTATGGAATTGCATGTGTACGGTATTGACATGTTGATCTCGTGGTGGATTCATTGATTTATTGATTTTGAATGGCTTTACGGACAGATTTACGAATTTATTGTTACCGTATGATTTCATTGATATTTGTATTATGTCACTGAGTATTGATACTGATATGAATATCGATATTGTATTGACTTATTGATACTATGGACATGGATACTATTGATTCATTGATACTATCGTTTCATTGATACACCGTATTGAACTGCTGCATGTAATCCATTGATTGATATGAAATAGGTTTTACTGTATTGATTTGCTTTCAATCGTTCTTACGACGTATTGATTGATTTTGACCAAAGATGATTGATTTGATCGATTTTATTGATATTATCGAGACGATGATTTTCTTCTATTGATTTGATTGGATTCTTATGAGAAGTATCGTATTTACTGGTTTATTGAGCTTTATGGATTTCTTCCTACTGTTTATTGATTCTCCTATTGTTGACTATGAATTTTATCGATTGTGCATTGACTACTGATTTTCGTATCTGCATAGATTCATTGATCATGTGCAATTAACTGTTATGGACTCGACTGATTGACATGCATATTGTTTCCAGTACCGTGCTTTAATTTCAGTTATAGGTATTAGGTGACCTGTTGGGCTTTTTGAAGCTCATTATATGTGGTTGACAATTTCAGGTCCGAGCATGGGAGCAGGAATGGAGATTGATCGAGACTGTCAGACGAATCCTTTCACTATGGATGCCTGTGGCGTCACACGTAGTCGACAGGAGACTGGGGTCAGACAGGTCGTTGTCTGGCGAGGGAGGTCAGAAGCACCTTAGTCGGCAGGAGACTGGAGTTAGAAAGATCGTTGTTTAGCGAGGGAGTTGGGAAGGACCATAGTAGGCATGAGTGGGGTCAGAAATAAGACCGTAGTAGTAGGGAGGTACTCTGACAGAACTCCGGGTATCAGGTGATGGTCTGACAGAAGTTCGAGCCTCAGGTGTTGGTTCGGCAGCACTCCGGTGTCAGGTGGTGGTCCGTTAGTGGCACTTCAGCGTCAGGGCCACTTCGGCTTCGGTTGGCACTTCGGCATCTTTGGATGGTCGGGTGGTGGTTTGACAGAACCTGGAGGTGGTGCGACAGAATTCCGGCGGTGGTGCGGCTGAACTCCGACGGTGGTGGATGAGCTTCCTTCTCTTCCTTATACTATATTGGCTCTTCTCCCCCTTTTTTCAAGAGGAAAATGAGGTTCTATTTATAGATTTATTGAGAGGCATGACTTGTAAAGAAGTTGAATATCAACGGTAAATTAGGAGTGGTTCAGATGAACGACCGATCTTGACTCCTATAATCATGCACAATTCAATGGATATTTGACTCTCTTAATGTTATTAGAATTTGATGAGCTTGGGCTCGTTGGATTCGTCTCATCGAGCCATTCAATTCGATTGTAAGCATGTCACATTTGAAAACCATTTGGTAATCCAAATTGTAGTTTGAACCTTCCAAAATCACTTCAGGTCTTTTGATTTGGACCCATTTGAGCTTGGATTGATTCGAATTTGATGTCGTTGAGTTTGTATTTCTGAGACGTTCAGTTCGACTATAAGTTTGCTAAAATCAGAGTTTGGATTGTCTCCGATTTAATTTTTGAAGTTTTCAACTTGATTTTGCGTCAAGATTCGTGCCCGATCAGGATAGTTTTTCGATGAATATCAATACTATACTAATAATTAAATGCTAATTTATATTTGAAATTATTTAAAATTTAAAAAGAGTAAAATAAAAATGAGTTATAGTTGATTGTAAAAACATTTAAAGTATTAATCAATTTAAGGGGCTATTTACTATAAGTATTCAAAATGCAGGATTTCAAAATACTCGTGTTAAATTCGATTAAAATAATAATTAAATTATGTTAAATTTCAAATTCACTCAATAGTTTATCACTGAACTTTACATTCTATTTATTTTATTTCAAATATGATTAAAATAAAATAAATAATCATACATATTTATTTTAGGCTCAATTAAACATTTTAAAATATTTCAAATACATATTCCCTTTCTAGTAAAATAAATAACCACTTAAATCAAAGTTATTTATATATTAAGTAAAATTTAAATCTAGCTTAAATTAACATTTTTATATTTTATTAAAGTTAATTCCATCAACTTGACCACACATGTTTCCAGTTGTTTCGGATAAGGTTGCTAAGTCGATCAGTCATGGTTAAGCCGGCATCAGGGAGTGGACCCGTATTCGATCGATTTTGTATCAATATTCAATAAGAAACGAAACCTCCATAACAAGCGCCACGTGTACATCTGCCAACCCGCTCGAGCCTATTTCTCCCCTGGAAAAAAAAAAAAAAAAAATCTCCCCCCGAGCCACACGGCCCACTCCCACGGGAGAATTTATGTTTCGCATGCGGAAGATACGCATAGTTAATTTACCGAACCCGGTCGATTGAGGCTACGCCTCTGGCCCTCTGCTTATCTAGTCCAACCGAAGCCCCTAAATATCTGGACACGTGGCGCATTTGGGCAGCTTCGGTTTTCGTCCGGGTTACCAGCCCAGCCGCTGCTCTCTCTTTAGTGCTTTCTTGCCGCTTCAGTCTCCTCTCCATGGTTCGTTTCCTTTTCCTTCTGCTGAACCCTAGAGGAGAAGAGGTGGTATTTGGCCTTCTCTGTTTCTCCTGAGCACGCGGTCTCCGATCGATTGATCGCCCAGGGCTGCTATTGGGTTTTATCGAGCTCTTTCTAGCTGCCGATTGTTTTTTATTGCTCAACGGTTCTTCCCTTGTTATTCACTTTGTTCTGTTCCCCCTTTTCTTGTTGTTGGTGCGATCATAGTGGTTTTTTACTTGTAAATATTTCAATAGTTTGCTCTTGTTCTCCATACATATGGGCGTGCTAATATTCCCGGTAGAATCTCGCCTTCATTATTTTGGCCAGGGCTTACCACTTCGCTGATTCGATGGCTTATCTCTATTGAAAATGTTCATATTTTTCTAGACGGAATTAATCATTGTAACAGCTTTGCAGTTTTGCTTTGGCTTATACCCAGTCGGCTAATAGCCGTTATTATTTTGTTGACTGGATAATCAGTTGGCTTGGGTCGTAATATTATAATAAGATAGCGGAAGACTCTTTTAGTTCCAAATGTTTTCTCTTTATGACGTTGTTATGACTGCTTTATTTTGGCGAATCTCGTCTGATGCTGATTCTGCAAAATAGTTATCTTTCTGTCGATTTTATCATGTTCCAATTGACGCCCAGTTTTGCAGCTGTGCTTCAGTATTTTAGCTGTCATAAATAGTTATCAGAGGCCAGTAAATTTTGTTGAAGAAATTTATTCGGTTGTTTTTTCTTATATCCTAGTCCGCAGATTCTATTAGTCATGATTCACTTATTCTTCAATCTTAACACAGGTTGAATAAGCTTATTTGTCATGGAATTCATGACCATTTAGAACTTTAAGAGTTGGGGAATCACAGATGACTGCCCTGTTACATTTGAATTAACCTCAGAATGGGGGGAGCTTGCTCAAGGAAGAGAGGTCACTCGGTTGAAGATGAGGGTTCAAGGAGAGTGGCCTCTGGGAGACTCTCAAAGGCTGGTAGTTCCAAATGGTTGCTATTTTCTCTTCCGCGTTGTGGCTCAACTGTTCTCCAAAAGGGACAGACAAAGTGTCCTACTCTCATGGAGCTGTGTGTTGCCAAGATTCGAGAGGTTCTTGACTTATTGGTTTCATTTTCCTTTCTTTTAGTTTCGTTCTATTCCACTCTTTTGGTTTTGCATTTTTTTTAAACATTCCCTGGATATTCTTGACAGGACATTGCAAAATACAGTAGCTTCTCTATGTTACCCAGGGACATAAGCCAACAAATTTTCAATGAATTGGTCGAATCTTTCTGCCTGACTGACGCATCACTGGAGGCTTTCCGGGATTGTGCTATTCAGGTAATGTACTTGCAAGTTGCAACATTTTTATTTTAGGAGATAACGTTGTACGTGTCATATTTGACTTTTGTTCACTGTTGAACTGTAGCTTACTGCAATAATGACCTGGCTCCAAGCATGTTAAAGATAGCATGCGTGAATGGACAATTTCCAATAATGTTTGGGAAATAGTTTCTCATTATGTGGGATATTTTAGATATGGAATTGTTTATGAAGAAAGATTCACATGGAACATCTCAAATATATGCTACAATGTTATTAGTTGTAACTACAGTGATAAGATTTTTCCAATCAGAATGCCTACTACATTTGTTTTCTTACTTATTGTGAAATTAAGGGTTTTGGAATTCTAAGGATTTTCCCTTTCCCAATCCTGGTGCTGAGAAAAGAATATAGTTTTAGTGATCATGGTAGGATGATACACAAATGCTTATATTTTCTTCGCAATCTTATCCATATTTTTAAGCTCTGCTTCTTTTGACTATTTTATGTAATGTGGATACGCTCAATTTGACTATCAGGATATGCTTTTGGGAGAATACCCTGGAGTAAAGGACAGTTGGATGCACGTTATTGCTTCTCAAGGGAAATCCTTACTGTCCCTTGATGTTTCTTGTTCTGATGTAACAGATTCTGGATTGCTTCATCTCAAGGATTGTTCTAACGTCCAGTCTTTGTCATTTAATTACTGTGATCAAATTTCAGATCGTGGCATGGAATATTTGTCTGGTAACTTCAAGCTATTTTTTTTTTCTCTTCTTAGGTTCATATTGTTCTACAACTCATCAAATAACCAGGTAACTTTTTATGCATGCCAGATCATGACCAAGTAATGCAAATTAAAAGAAGTTTTGAAATGATATAGAATGCAAAATAAAAAGAAGTTATGCAATTTTTAAAAATTTTCTATTGAAGATGTTGTATTATCATATTATGATATGTAATGCAAATTAAAATGATGTTATGCAATGTTTGAAAGTTTTGGTATCAAAGATGGGAGCAACCTAATGCAAAAATGAGGGCGCAAGATTCACGAGGAAGCAAACTAGTGACATAGTCAATTACTATCCACTTAGAATATAGAGAATACGAACATTTATGAGTCAGAAAGTGTTCCTGGAGAAAGTTATCATGAAAGTTTTATAACGTACAAGTTATAATGTGCTAATGTTCATGGTCATATTTCTCTTTAGTGATGTGACATAATTGATTACATCCATTTGTTATTTCAATCAATAATTAAGTAAAAATGCAAAGAGAATAATGGAGAAAGAAGAAAAATAATTTGTCAATCATACTTACTCCTGAACAATAGACGGTATCATTAGCTAAGAAATTTGGGAGAATAAAGGCTCTCACATCCAAAATCACTTAGCTCTAGCACATCAACTTTGCTGAAGTGAAATTTTTTATTCATTAGTCATTCGGCAATTATTGATACCCTTATTTATTGAAGGAAGAGAAACAACAAAAGTAAACACATATTCTGATATACTTGATATTTTGAAGTTTTTTAATTGACTTTGACTGAGCAAATGTGCATTATGGGTCCAATTTATTTCACTAGGAGTGTCCGAAAGTGATAGCATCTTATTTTTGGTAGCGAGTTTAAGTGGTTTTTTTACTTGTTGAATGGAATTGAGATCTCACAATTCACTTTCGAAAAAGTGAGAAGTGGTTTCCATTTTTGAGGGCTTGGATTTCCCCTAGTTTTGCATTTTTACATACAATAACAATAGCATATATTAACTTTATGGTATCATTTGCATGGATTAGTACTTCTGTTTATAATAATAATAATTGTGACTTGATAAAAATAAAATTAATGTAGCTCAAATAAGCACATAAATGGAGTTCACATGAAGTGAGTTGCAACAAAACATACAAAGGATATCAACACAACTCACTTTGATGCAACTCACCCTAGTTTTGAAACATACAAAGGATCTTGATCTAGTTTTCATTATTATTTTTGCCATCTGCTTTAAACTAACTACCCTAAATTTTTCCTAATCTTAAAAAATATAAAAGAGCTGCTATTATAAGTTAAGTATTTAACGTCTAACAACTATCCTTAATTAAATTCTTTAGCCTAATTGGGAGGGGTAAATAAAAATAGAGGTGTATGCTAATGAAAATAAGACTCTAATCATAATGTTCTTGCAAAATGAGTTCGAAATCTGTGTGGTGTTTTATTTGCAATCTAATTTGTGTTCTAAAAATTTGATCTCAAAACTGAACTCTTTTAGTAGTGCCGGCATGAGTTTCTCAGAGTCCACACTAATTACATAACTTTAGTGTATTCATATGTTTGTCAAAATTTTTTTTTTTTAATGTAAATGTAAAATTAGATTATCTACTGGCTTAAGTATTTGAGTTGAAGTTGTGCATTCTTCATTCCAGTTCGTCCTAGTAAGTTTGGTGGTGTAAGGAACTGATACACCATTCTCATATATAGAAAATAATAATGATGTAGAATTACGATGCTTGCAAATGATTATATTAAGAATTTGCAAAAGTTCTTGATTATAGTAATAACAAAGAAACTTTTAGCAACTAAAATAACAAATCAAAACGTGAAAGGGGTCACTTTCGTTTAGGCCAAGTTACACATCAAAAGATTTGAATCTTCAAAATAACGTAGAAAACAACATTATGCCAAGTAGTAGTTTTCAACTAAATTCCTAGTCTAACAATGAGATTAGTAAATAAATGAATGCACACAAATTCCTACGTTTACTAAGCTTTAGCAGAATAGGGCGAGCCTGTCCTTCTTGATTACAATCAATTCACAAGAAAAGATTAGACTTAAGAAACACAAGAGGCAAACCTTCGCTAAGGATCGGCAGCAATCTTCCATTTGACGATCTCCAATTGTTCTTCAATAGCTTCAACTAAAGTGTCCAAGATGCGCTCTATGTAGTCCTCAACTGTGTGTTCGATCCTCGGGTTGACATCGAAGAAGGTTGAATGGAGAATATGCACGAACCCGTGCTCATCGTACGCAGGTCCGTAGTCAGTGTCGGGATTGGCCATTCATGGAGGCTAGATGATGATGTCTTCCCAAGGATTGCTAGTTCTCCCCGGACGTTGTTGAAAAGAAAGAAGTCTCTCTTCAACTTGAAATAAAAATGAGGAAGAGGGGAGGCCGGCCCAAGAAAAAGAACCACAAGTGGAGGTAGGAGTAAGTTGAAGGAAAGATTTCCCTTCCAAAAAAATCTGATATAAATTTCAGATTTTTGAAATTAGAGAATAGAAATTTAAACGGGAAAATTCAATCCCTCAATTTCGGGGAGGGGAATTAACGAGGGCTGGCGGTTAGCCAAGCAAAGGCCGGCGGCTATAGGGAGGATGGGGAGGAAATTAAGGAGGCTTTATTGCTTCCTTAATTTGGATGATTAGATTTAGGATGAATTAATTCGTCCCAATTAATTTAAGGTCCAATGGAGGGAAAGGTTTGAAAACTTTCCTAAAATAGATTTTATATTTTAGGAAATAATTTGAATTTCAAATCTGGGGAAATTTGGAATTCAAAGACCAACTAAATGATGACAATCCCAAATTAGGAAGCAGCTAGGTGGAGATGTAAGTGGTGTTTTTGTGGGTGGAAGGGGGGCGACTTGGGAGGGGAAGGACCGTGAAGATGAAGTGGGAGATGGAGGGAGGTCGGAGAAAAGAAAAGATATGAAATAGAACCACGAACCCGACTCATCTAGGTTGGTGGGTGATGCGCCGTTCTCCCTCTCCAAGGGATCTCTTTCCAATCTCTCAAGCTCTCTCAAGAACTCATACAAGGAAGAAATTTTTTTAATCAATCATTCATTCATTAACTTGAAAAGAGAACAATGAGGGCTATATAAAGCCTCATACAAAAGACTCAAAGACAAAAGACAACAATGCCCATTGGGCTTACATTCGACATCCCTTAATAAAAGATTACAACGAGAAACTAAATAAAACAAATAAAATGCGACAACATAAATAAGAAAATACATAGAATTAATCAAAAATACAATGACTCAATGACTCAATCGTGGCCGTTGATCGGCTAAACCTTCCATAATCTGATGTCCCCATCAAATAATGGCTAGCATGACATGGCCGTTGGCCATAATTTTGAAGCAAAACCTACACGTGACTATGGGCTTTAAGATGCATAGGCAGAAAAGGCTGGTTGTGGGCTTATTTATGTCAGCACTTATCCCGTACGACTTTTCTGTTCTGAGTTTGGAATTGTGCTTACACAATATTTACTTTACTGAATTTATTTAGTGATATTTATTGCTCGTTTGCAATGTTTTAGCTAGAAAAAACCAAGTTTTTTAATGCATCAGCAAGTTATTATGCATTCCCCCCCATTGATATTCTTTTTCTTACAGGTCTTTCAAACTTGACATCACTAAGTTTTAAGAAGAGCAATGCGATAACTGCGGAAGGAATGAAAGCTTTTAGGTACTTAGTTAACTTGGTTAATTTGGATCTGGAGAGATGCTTGAAAATACATGGTGGTCTTATTCATATAGAGGGTAAGTTCTTGGTTCTTTCAATTTTATGGGTTTTCTTAGATATGTTGCAATGTGGTAGCTCTTACAGTCGGCAACTATATGTTGCTTGAGCGCCTTCTGAGCATGCGTATACTTTCTCATATATATGTACTGAATTATATATTGTTGTCATTTGTCTGATTTCTAGATTATTATTTGAAGTTTATAAATGGTTGTTATTTATGGCCAATCTGACGGAGGAAAGTATTTTTTTGTTGGCGTCGTTAACTGAATGCTAGGGTATATATATATAGACAAATGTAAATAATACAGAAGTAATATAATAATAGAATATCCTCAATTATGATTATATTTCAATAATAACTAATTGTTTCAATATAGAACTCTAATGACACTCTTTTTCAAGCTCGAGCATGTATTAGCTTTAGTTTGTTCTCCTAGAGCCTGGGTATAGATAACAACTTTTCTTCACCTGAGATTTGAAGAGTGATGATTTTTTTGACAAGAACATCCTTTTGATGAAGTGGCAATTCCCTAGCGTATGTGTTAACCTCTAACTACCCATGACTCCAGCCGAAGCTTCATTCCGTTAACCACTACTCCACATTCCCACGTCGTGGAAATAACTGTTGCCTCAACGATTAAAAAGAATGAAGGAAAAGAGACGCAATCAGGAGGATAGTTTTCTTTTACTCTCGGACACTCCGGTTCCTATCACTGCCTTGAGCGAACAAACCCCGATCCAATCTCCTCTCCGATTGATGCAATCAAACCCCAAGCCATCCTCCATTATGACTGCTGTGATCTACTCGATGCCGGTCGCCTCACTCCCGACAACTCCCAAATTTGCTCACGCCCTAGCCTTCGTCTGACTTCGACTCCTCCCGTCCGCCTCCACTCACATAGCCCAATCTGCATGTCGGCTTCAACTTCCATGCAAGCAAGGCCGAACACCTAGGCCGCGTACTTCATCTCGCGTGAACCCCTAGCTTGTGCTGATCTACCTTCTCACTCTTTCGACTACTCGTCGATCCTCCCTTGCCCGATCCGCCTCTGTTTATGTGAATAGTGAGTGAGGGAGAGATGTGAGAGCGATTATGTATATACTTATTATAATAATAATAATAATAATAATAATTTTAATATGTATATATTATAAAAAAAGGAAAGCATGAGACGTTGCAATCATCAACCAGTAATCGTCAATCATATACTTCAAGATAATTCCGGGACCAAACAACATCCTGAAGCCCTCCTCCGTTGAATCCTATCTGACTGGGCGGGTTTGAAAGGGAGAGTATCCTCTCCTACCTCCACTAGCTGGGAGGGGAGGTCGGGAGGTCGCCAAAAAATTTCCAAAATTATTGTACTGAACTTTTACATATTTTTGGAAATATTGGAAAACATTCAATTGATTAATTTAACTTAAAAAATAATAATTTTAAATAAGCAATTCTAATTAAAATAAACTAAAGGCTTAAATTAACTAATTATTAATCTGATTAATTGATTAACTAAATAACTAGTCAGTTAATTTAATAAAAATAAAGAAAATAAACTAATTTAATTAAATAACTAAATTAACAAAAAATAATTAAAACTCAATCGAAACTCTAATTGAGTTGAAATAAAAAGTTTAATTAAAATTAGAAGCTTTTAAAATCATTTAATTAATAAAATCAATTGATCAAATTCAAAATGTTCAATAAGAGGAATTTAAATAATTAAATAACTAATAAAATTAAAGTTTACATAATTAATAAAAAATCTCTTAAACAATTGAGCAATCAATTCAATCTAAATGATATAAGAATTTTAAATACTAATTAATCCCAAATTTCAACTTAAATTAAATTAAAATCAATTAAGCTTTCTATAAAATAAAAAAATTATAATTATAATTATAATTAAAAATTTAATCAATTAATCGATCAAATGAAATTTAAATTTTATTAATAATTAAATTATTTTAAAATACAATTTAATTAACTAACAGAGCAAATTTAATTTCAAAATTAAATTTTAATTAATTAACTTAATTGATTAATGGAATTAATTAAATCAAAATAAAATAGAAAATAAAAAGAAAGAAACAAAAATGAATGTTTTTTCTCACTATCCAACATAAGTACAAGCCACAGCTTTCAAACATAAGCTCTCCAACACTCTCTATTCTCTAGCAATAACTCAATAGGCAGCTCTCCAACAAGCTCTCAACACTCTCTGGCTCTCAGCAGTAACCTCAACTGCAGCTACCTAAAAGCTTTCTAAACTATTGACCACAAGCACCTGCAAACAAGTAAATAAAAGTTAATACATAATAAATAAAATTAATGCTAAAAAAAGTAAAGCTACTGCTAAAGCAGAAAAGCTACAAGCTCTACTTAAAGCTAGATTATAAAACAACTGCCGGTTAGTAAGTGTTGAAGCAGTGACTACTAGCTAGTAAGTTTCAAAATAACGATTGCAAGCTAGTACTAAAACAAAGTTGGCTAAACAAGCTGTTGACACTGGTGTCAAAACTGTGAAGTCTGTAAAGTAAATTGTACGGGTAATTATTTCCTCGCTAACCTAAACCCTATAAGGTCCTATAGGTCACTTCTAATAGAAGCAGTAAATTGTACGGGTAATTATTTCACTAAGTATATTTAGTAAGTGTCCCACCGTTGCTTAGCTCGTGTGGGAGAGAACCGGTTGGGCAAAGCTCAGGTCCCGGGTTCGATCCCCTTGGGCAGTAGCAAAATCCTTAAGTGTTGGCCCGGGCTAATGTTGTGGGTAGCCTGTTAGGTCGACCGGGATTTACAATCCGCAAAGTAGATTGGTTCCTCGTAAAAAAAAAGTGAAACAATATACGCCTGAAAATCATCCAACAACTTCTAATACCTTGGGCTACAATAGCGACCAAATACCCATAAGGGCAAAAGCGGGAAAAACTGAAAATAAAATAAACTACTACATAAAATGACTCAAAATAAAACTTATGATCGTGGTCGTCGATCTCCGGCGTCTCCTGATGGTACTCGTGTCGAAAATGCTGACGATGTCCTCATCACAGTAAGTCCCATATAATCATATATCACGAAAATAACCTTAAAACCCATTCACACCTAATATTAGACAGCTTAGCCTATAGTAATAGGTTGTAAGACTCGCTTTTCAACCATTTTTAATGAAAACCTTAAGTTCGACTTTTAAGGAGAAATGTCTAGGTAATAACATAATCCTAGACCCCTCTAATGGGAAAGTTATTAGGTTTGGTCACTTGACAAAGAGATACATCCATATTTCTCTCTGTCTACAGTAAAGCACAGTCAAAGCGTAGTTGCTGTAGTAGATGCGCTTTGACTGTGCTTTTATTGTAGATAGAGAGAAATCCAGATGATTCTCTCTGTCCGGTGTCCGCACCTAATAATTTGCCCCTCTAATGACCATCCTAATCTATAGGGCTATATTGTAAGACCCATCATATGGGCTACTTAGCTTACAAGGCTAGGTCATAAGATCCGTTGTGAGGCAATTTCTAAATCCAGAAGATATAAGATCTATCTAAACATCCAAAATTCATGGGCATCTTAGTCTATAGGATTAAGTTGTAAGACTCATTATATGGGCCGCATCTAATAGAGGTTGTAAGGCTCGTCATTAGGGCTACTTTCAAATGAAAGCCGTAAGCCCCTATCAAAATCCAATCACACAGGCAACTCCTAAATGGGGCCGTAAGACCCAATTCAAATTTAAATTATGGGCAACTTCTAAATAGAGCCATAAGTCCCTATCTAAAATTAAAGAACGAATATATATCAACTTTAGTTTACTTGGGATCCTTGAGAGGAGGCAACCTATAGCTGCTAATCAGATTTCGTGAACACTACAATCAATGGTCATTAGTGTTTGTAGACTGAATCCTACTGTATGTCTGGGATGATGGAACTATGAGATCTTAATCGGGTCTACCTTTATCCCCCACATCAGAGTTTAGAACATTAATACACTGTTTGTAAGACCCAAACAACCATCCAAAGCATGCATCAGTTGGCTCTTTCACGTTAATTGGAAATTGAAATGGGATGGCAGTTGCATTGGATCCCACTTCAAATTGGTTATTGCATACAAACTGGCTGAATAGATAAAATTACACGGCACAGTTAATAGAAGAAGTATTCGGCCAGCGCAAAGAAAAGAATTCGGCTACAATGCTTTAGAAAACTTATAGCATATAGCAGAAGAGAAGAAATTCATTGATTAGCTACAAGCCAATAGTTCTTTTCTCTATTTCAATTTCACGCAAGCCAACAGAGCAGATTATCGGGCGAGATATTGTAGGAAGAAACGACACAGCATGCAGTTCGGCACAGTGCAGAAAACACTGCAGCAGTATTCAACAAAGGATTTTTACACTGTCGGAATTCGGCTGTATGAATGAAGCATTTGTTGTAGAGTTGGGAACTTGGAATTAGATGAGAACAATTGATCAGTAATCGTGTGGAGCAAGAAGAAGAAGAAGAAAAACAGCGAAATAAAAAGAAAAAAGAATCAGAAGTAATTGGTTGTATGTTTAGTTATAAGTATTTTATAGAATTTTATGTAATAGTAGTTCTTAAAAGAAGATTTTGTCTAAACGTAGGAATCTATCATAGTATATGAGGAGAGGTAAATGTTCATATTAGTATAAATTGATTTTTATGACATTTTATTTGTATAATCAATGGTGAAATTTATAGAATTAGAGAAATGACTTTTAGGTAACTTACCTTCGTAGAAGAGTACGAAGTAGAGAATTGAAAGAGACACCTCGACAATGAGGCAAGTAATGCAATTATCTTAAAAATATAGTTAGCTTCATTTATAAGCATGGAGAGCTAATTTTGAATACTTTAAAGGTCTAGAAAATGATTATACCTCCAAGTTTCCATGTATAAATGACCTCTTATATATTTGAATAATGAGAGTTTAAAATAAGAATTATTATGCTTATTTAAAGATTTTAGTAGTTGAAAATATCTTGGAAAGAAGCACAATTCTTAACATATGGCATATACAATTTTCTTTATACAAATTATATAACAGAAAGATCGTTATGAAATCATGTTTGAAAAGTATGAACTATGAATATGTGAAGTATAGTGAATACAACAACAACAACAACAACAACAACAAGCCTTAATCCCACTGTGTGGGGTCGGCTACATGAATTATTGAATTCTTTTTCTCCATTGTGTCCTATTAAAAGTCAAATTCTCATTTAAATCAACACAATTTCTTAAAGGATTCATATCATTATTATTTGACAAGTTTTACAATGGCTGTCAACTACCTAACGTAACCCTCCACTTTTCTCATCCAGGATTTGGGACATGGCAATGGCAGTGTTGTGAAGTATAGTGAATATCAATTTAAAAATAAAATTTGGCTATAAAATAATGTATAACTTAGAATTACAGGTGAGGCAAAAAGGGTCCTCATGTATGATATTGCATTGTAAGTGAGACAAAAGGAACCCTAAAGAATATAATACCTGCATAGCAGGTGGGGCAAAATGGACTCATAATGAGACAAATTGCCAGGTTTATCTGCGCTCCATTGAACATGCTGATAAAAGTTTATCCAAATCTTTAAATTACTAATATTGATATTCAATAAAGATTATCAGCCTAAGCGTACTACAAAATTTTAGGAGGAAGGGGATTGCAAAAAGTATCAATTTTGATGATAATGGTATATGAAGATTAGATATATACAAATAGTGCTCTTGCCGGTGGCACATTCCAAAACATTGGCTACCCAGTCAAACACAAATATAGAAATGTTAAAAACTTTCTATGTTCCCCCAAAAGAGGTCTCAATGAATGCGAATCCTTTTTTCTACAAATCAAGAGTGATAACACATCACACTACTCGGGAAATAGAATGCGAAAATGATTGGGAATACAGTGATATGTTGATAATCATTCCTCAACATCCCCTACCCATTATGAGAAAGCTTATGAAGAGAAATATCTTTTTCGTGCAAACAAAGAAGTGAGCTCGTTATTTCAGAGAGCTATGGCATAACGAGCATGCACAAAATCTTATTGACACTTATTTGTCTATAACATGGGTTCTCAGATATGCTCGACATTCATGTCTCATACGAGCAAAATCGTACTACTATCTTGAGTACCACTGACATCCATGACTCATGTACGCAATCTCCTACAACATTACTGACAAGGTGGAGGGACCACCAGAATATGAAAATCAAGTAGAAGATTTAATTGTAGATCTGAAAGAAGTTCCTAAAGAGTTCAAAGAAGGTGGTCAATTCACTATGGATGAACTCAAATAACTCAAAGAGATAAATTTGGGTACCGAAGAAGATCTAAAGCTAATCTTTTTAGTGCAAATCTCTTGCACGATAAAGCAGGAGAGCTAAAAATGTTGCTTCTTGAGTACAAAGATTGTTTGCATGGAACTACACTGAAATGCTCGGTTTATCACCAGAGGTGGTAGTGCATAAGCTCTCTTTCAATGCCAAAATACAGCCTGTGAAACATGCACCCAGTCGAATGCGACTTGAGATTGAAGAGAAAGTCGTCGCTGAAACTAAAAAGCTCATTGAAGCTGGCTTTATCCTGGAATAAAAATGTGCTGACTGGATTGCCAATATCGTCCCAGTAAAGAAGAAAAAAGGTCAAATTCGCATTTGTATTGACTATCGGGCCTGAATAAGACATGTATGAAGGATGATTTTCCACTTCAATGCAGAACTTATGGTCGATAATACATCGAACCACGATATGTTCTCATTCATGGATGAATCGTTGGGTTATAATCATATTAAAATGGACCCACCTGACCAAAAACACATTGCCTTTCGAACCCCCGTCAGCATATACTTTTACAAGGTTACGCCGTTTGGATTGAAAAATGCGGGGCCACATATCAAAGGACGATGACCCGCATCTTTGATAATCTTGTACATAAGAATGTTGAGTGTTATGTTGATGACTTGGTTGTAAAAAACAAAGTTCAACATGGGTAAAGGTTCTGTGCAAGTAGTGAGCTGGGTGTGTTCTTTGAAGATGGATCGTTTAAGACTTTCCCTTTTTCGCACCATGAGGTTCTAAATTGTCAACTTGAATGCTGATCATCAAATTCTCTGTTTCATTTCCAAAAAGTACAAATGTAATGAAGGAAAGTACCTTGCTTTCCAACCCTTTTTAGGGTCGGATTTTATGCATAGTCTTGTCATTCAAATTACCGCCATGACGTTTTATCATACTTCCTTTCTTTTACATTAATTTCTGTTTTTTTTAATTGCTGACAATCTCTCGGTTTTCTTTGTTCTGTAGGCATTTTTTGCTTCATATTTTTGAACTATTAGATTTGTTTTTTCTTTTGTTTTTGTTGTGATGCTTTATTATAAACCAGGTTTAAAGAAACTGGAAACGCTCAACATTAGATGTTGCAATTGTATAAGGGATGAAGACATTCTTTCTCTATCAGGTAATGCTATTAAAATTTTTTAGTGATTTTATGTAGTTGATACCTCACAATTTAGTTATTTACCAGTAAATATTTGACGGGAAAAATTGCAAATTTCATGAACTCATGCTTACATTAGAATAACTGAGAATAAGAGGATTACATAACTTATGTTAGTTGTGTTATTAAGTACGATACCCACAAAGAAATAATTAAGTGAATGCATATTATTGAGCAAGAGCGAGAAGGATAAGAAGTTTGATCCGTTTACCATCCATCAAAACAAAAATCAACTATATTCTAATATCACACGCTCTCATGTGCATGTCAATCATGATTTTAGACATGAAATCATTGGGCATTGCCTAAGCTTGCTTATACAAAAAATATATATAAAATACTAAAAGAATACAATGTAATACAGAAGGCGTGGTTATTTATCATGTGGAATTGTGTGCCTAAGAAAGTAAGCCTACACTGCTGATTTTTGCATAGGCGCAGTGCATGTTATGAAATTTACCTTACTAGAAAGTTTCATTTTTTAAAGATTGGGCGTATTACTTGTCTGAACATCTTTTTTTTTGGGAATACAAAGTGTATTTTTAATTTTCTGGTTGGCTCAATTATTTTAGTTATCTTTTTCCTTCTGTACTATATGATATTTTTTCCCATAATATTTCCCATTGCCCAGATCCGAATTTATCTTGTCGAAAATATTATTGTTTTTTCATATTAGCTTTTACATAAATCAACTATGCCAAACAATTTGGGTTTGCCCACCTGACATAATGAATGAATCCAACTTGAACTCTTTTGGGGCGGATGGTGTCGGGAATCTTGAAGTTGAGAGGGTACAATGTGGGCAGAATGGAATTACGAAGGTTCAGGAGTGTAGTTAGAGGGGATTAGGAGATCACGGAGTGGAGAAGAAAAATGAAGAACCATGGTGTTGTGATGGACTAGGAGATCACGGAGTGGAGAAGGTTTTAAATTGAGGGACTGACCAAGGTAAAGTATGGGATGGGACTTAAACAAAGATATATACACACGTACTTAATTTTTTTAACTTCAGTAATAACTCAAATGATGGTCAAAAACACTTGTGCGATAAAGCATTTATGTAAATGTACGTGTTCTGTATTTTTTTTGAATTAAGAATTGAGATGAAAAAACCTGAAGTTTATATAACATTTAAACATTACATATATGAAGTTCAAATTAATATTTTCAGGTTTATATAAATTATATTTGAAAAAGACCAGGTTTGTTTATGTTATATTTCAAAGAGGAGTGAATGTTGATACATAATTTGAATTATGTCAGCTTTCAAATCTAAAAATTAAAGTTGAGGGGATAAGCCACTTTAAATAGAGCACATGAGTGCACAAAGAGAAAATTATACCTGTTAAATTGTAGTAGAAGTCATTTACTTATAAATTATTATCGCGTTGAAAGTGAGACTTGAAAAGTACTAATCTCAATAAAATAAGGGAGCTGTTCTCAAATGACTTCTGAAGGTTTTCCAAAATGGCACTTATACCCCCTTTAGTTTATGAATCAAAGCTGTTGAAGATGCTCTAAACATCAGAAGTACCTTTTGTTGCATCTTTTTTAAATTTGAAATTGATGAGGACATTGGACAATATCAACGAGTTTATCAACTTAGGAATCGTAGATCGATGGCTACGATTCACAATCTTTATTTTTGATGCATTTATGTATTGCAGTTTATTTACTAATTACGATTGTACCAATTCTTTTGAGTTCGTTTGAGTTGTAGCCCAAGGGGCATTTGAGTCATTATTATTTTATTTTCTAGGCCTATATATTGTGGCCTCTTCTATTGTAATGGGATGATGATTATGAAATGAAATTTCAGATTTTTTTTGTTTGATCTCTTTATGAGTTTTTGAGAGGAGAAACCCTAGGAGAGGGCCTTGCAACACCCGTCATCCACCGGTGGATTCCGAGACTCATGGTTCTTCATTTTTCTTTCCCTATCACCGGCCACCTTATCTTCCCTCCCACCACCGCCGGCCAATCCAACCCACCTTCTCCACCCGCCGACCTTTTTCCCTACTCTCCCTCTAAGCCACCGGTCACCCCTCACCCTATCCACACGCCGACGGCCACCCCACCTTCACCCCCAAACCGCCGGCCTAGCTAGCCCTAGCCCCACCGTCGACCACCCCTTTCCTATTTCCCTTGGATGATGAAATCAATCATCATTAACACCTACCTAAAATAGCCTAATTGGTTTGAGAAAGATCTAAATAATAAATAATAAATAATATTGAAATTCAAATTTCAAATACTCTCCTAAACTAAGAAAGCTAAATTAGGAAAGTTTATAAATTGTGATCTAATTTAATTTTAAATTAGATTGGTCATTCCTATTTCATCCCTAATTAATAGGAGTGCATTAGGAAACTATTAAACCCTTCCCAATCTCCCCCCTTTTCTCTATGCCGCGGGCCCTCCCCATGCTCCAAATTTTTTAATTCAAAATTTGAATTATTATCTCAATTGATTACCCTCCTTGGTAATTAATTTTAAAGAGAATTTAATACCCTAATTCCCCTAACCCATATTTGAATTTGAATTTCAAATTATTTTCCCTCATTTAATTAAATCTAAAATTAATTTCATATTTAATGCTCTTTCCATATCCCCAAACCTAGACCCCATAAACCCTATTTCCCTCCACACTTGGCCGGCCCTCTTGTTTTCCCACCCTCTTTGAATTTCCCAAATCTCATGAGCTCTCTTGCAAGAAAGGAAGTTAATCATCTCTCTTCCCACGGTCCACTAGTGCATGACCGATCCCGACATTGATCTCGGGTTTGTATATGACAATCAAGGAAGGATGGACATTCTTCGATTTGAACTTGAACTTCGACGATTCCGTGGAAGGCTACATTGACTGCATCACCTTCACGTTGGCACTGACAATTGAGGAGCACCTCCCAATCGGATCGTGGTCGATTGTGGGACGTCCACCAATCCATCCATCGCCGGCTACCTTTCCATCAACGAAGATCTTAGGCTTCTTCTTCCTAATGGTGATATCTTGTCTAGTGTGGAGTATCTTCTTACGCTAACCCCACAAGTCAATGAGCGAGAAGGTCCTTAAGGTGAAACCTCTCATTATTAAATTGTGGATTTTGTTATTGGCTCATAAAATTTACCTTTGTCTTTGAAGTTTGATTGAATTGTCTTGGTTAATCTAACATATACTTCTTTGCTTAAGCAAGTTGAAAACTACGAATTTATAGAATATTTCTTTGTTGTGAACAATAACTTTATATTAGAAAGCTTTCAACAATTGCTCTTCTTAATTTCTTGTTAACTCCTGTTGATTGTTTCACATCAAAAATATGGTGAGCTTTTGTTCGCTCAAGAAAAACAACACGAATGCATTAAGCCATGAATTCTGCTTTGCAGCTGTAGGATTCTATCTTCCTTGAGTCAATTGTAGTTAATCAGATTTTCCCTGAGGTTAGTATCAGGGTTTAATTAGATCTGAGTCCTTACTTCCCATGAGCGCAAGCATTTATAGTTAATTATCCATCTTAACACATAAGAGAGAATTCTCAATTAATAATGAATAAATTTAGGAGTTTTAGTCTCAATTGTGGGAAAAATGAAGGTAAACCCAATCAAGATCTTATTATTTTGTCATCCCGGGTATACCATAGGTTTCAGTCCACAAACACTAACAATTATTGACCGTAGTGTCCAAGGAATCTGATTAGCAGACATGAGTTGCCTCATCTCAGGGATTCCGAGTAGACTAAGGTGGTTAGATGTGAGTTTTAATTTTATTAGGTTTTGAGGTTTACACCTATTAGAATACTCAGAAGTTAATTTGGTTTGGGATTTATAATTTCGTTTAAAAGTTATCCAGATATTAAAATTAGTGGTCGTACAACTTCTTTATGAAGTAGCCTGAGTATTTGAATTTGGGTCGGGACTTACGACTTTCATTGAAAGTAGTCCGTAAGGCGGGTCTTACGGTTTTTATTAGAAGTAGTAGCGCTTTGACTGGTTTTATAACCAAGCTCTATAGAAAAACTGCCTATTATTTTTGAATTTGGTTAACATGTCTTACAACTCCCTTAGGAGTTGCATGTAGGTTTAATTTGGAGTGAGACTTACAGCTCTCTTTAGGAGTTGTCCGGTAGTGGGTCTTACAACCTAGCTCTACAGCAAGGCTGGCCATGGACCTAATTATTTAGGTAGGACTTATAGCTTCTATTTGGAAGATGTCTGAAAGTGAGTCTTACAACCTAATTCTTTAGACTAAGATGCCATTAATTTTGGGAAATTTTATTTTATTTAGAGATTCCCTAAAGTGTGGGTCTTATTTTTTCAAAAGTGGTCCAATAGTGGGTTTACAACCGAGTCCGATATACTAAAGATGCCTAGAGATTTAATTGTTTGTTTGTTTGAGTGGGTAGCTGTTGTTTTGTTAGCTTGGCACCAAATTGTGATTTTCAGTTGTTTGCTAGTAGTTTATTGTTATGTGACACTAATACTTTTCACTGCATTAGTTTCTATTTTTGTTTTAGTAGTTCAGCACTTTACTTGCTCTTTTTTTTTACCACTGTTCTACTCTTTGTCTGTAGTTTAGTGTGACATTTGTTCTTTTTCCTACTTTAGCATTTATTATGATATTAATTTAATTTCAATGTGTAATTTATTTCATTTGTTTGTTTGAAGGACTTTGTGTTATTTTTGAGTTTACACAGGAGAGTTGGATAGTTGTTTGAGTGAGAGTTTTGTTTGGAGAGCAGTGTTTGTGAGTTTCTATATTAAGATAATGAAAATGCTCGTCCTCTGAAAATTTGCTACCTCAAAACACCCAAAGGTCATATGATAGATTTTTTATTTGAGAGACATGGAGAATGCTCTCTACAAGTCGAACCTTATTAGTGTGTGAAGTTTTTACACTGTTTTTTGAGGAAATATAGCAGCAACAACAACAACATCAAGCCTTTATCCCACCATGTGGGGTCGACTACATGAATCCTTTTTCTCCATTGTGCCCTGTTAAGAGTCAAATTTTCATTTAAATCTAATACAGAAATGTTATTTCTAATAATATAGCTGGGATAAAACTGCATGTATAGCATCTATGCTGTATAATCCTAATTGATGTGCTAGCATATCTTGTGAAGGAAACGAAGTGTTTTTCAGCCATGTTTGTATGGCTCGTGGAATGATTAAAATTTCTTTTCACATAGTTTCAGACCTACTTGCTGTGGCAAATTCTTGGGGACGTCTCCCAAGGGAAGATAATTCTTCAAGCTGGAGCAGGTGGAGGGCCATAATGGATTAAGAATTGCACTAAAAAAATGAAAGACTTGTTTTATGAAGTTGTCTATAATATCACATACTTATTGTTTGGTTATTGTAATCTAGTATTTGGTTAAGGAGTTTGAAAAAGGTAAAAAATCTTTATATTTATTCTGGATAACTGAATTGGACATATCAGAAATTAAGTCTGGGTTCCTTATCAGCTTTTGATATGACATTTGGAAGAATATGATTAGAAAACTGGAATAATTATAGATCAAAATAAATGAATATAGTGGAATTTAATGGAGTAAAGTTCAGGGGAGGGGACATATTAGGAAGATTCTTTTTTCAAAGTGCATTTATTTAAGTTGAATTGTATAGTGTATTTTCTTTATTGTATATTGTTTCTGTTTTCTTTATTTAATATTTTTCTTGGAAATTCTAATTAAAATTTGACTAACGGATCCTTATTTAGGCCTTATAAACTTAAGAGAGCTACAAATGTCATCTTGCAAAGTCAGTGATGCTGGCATTTCTCATCTGAAAGGTGAACACTTGGATATAATTTCCCATATATGTATGCTGTATTATTGTTATTATTTTTGTTTAATAGCACATTATTTTAACTTGGTTTTTTATTGTCCGTTTACTCTAACATACATATTATCAACACAGGTTTAAAGAAACTTGTTCACTTGAACTTGGAGGGTTGTCCAGTGACTGGCGCTTCTCTAGAGTTTATTTCAGGTCCTTAACATATAATTGATTGCTCCCAATCCTACCCCAAATCTGTTGTTGCATAGCAGTTTGCCTGCTTGTAAAATTTTCTAGCTATTAGCCTTTGAATTTGATTTTCTTGTGTGATGCTTTAATTTTGTGCTTCTGAACCTCATAGATGATTTGGAATTAAAATAAAAAAGAAACCCCACTCACTTCTACAAAAGTGTTGAGTTTTGTAACTCATGTTATTTCAATTGTTTGTTTTAGATGTTCATTATGCATCTACATTTCTTTTCCTCATCTTTTTTTCTTGTATTCACTTGATGTTGCTTATGACTTAGATGCTTAAGCTTCTACTTCTATTGTTACTCTGTGAACATTGTGTACCATGCTCTATTGTTGCCTATATTTGCATGCAAATGATTTAGCGTTACTATGAATATTGTGCTTTGGTGTCATGCAGTCTATATAAATTCTCGATTTCGTTTGTAATTGTAGTTGCCCATTTACAATATCTATAAAAGCCAATTAAATGCCTTAACTAAAAAAGTTGTTCTATGAATTTTACTTTCATAGGATGAGATGGTTTCAGTGGCATTTTCCTTTTCTCTTTTACTGATTGATGTCCAAATCACTTGAATATTTTATTTTGGACCTTTTGCTTTTTAATCTTATTGTACTCATGTTGTAGTGTGGTAATGCTTTTTTATAAACCCCCGTTTTAATCCCTATGCTTATAAAATCAAACAGCTTCCTCTATTTATTAGATTATTTTTTCAGTTCTCATTAAAACATTAAAACAAGTCTTAAAAGATATGGAAATTCAGTATGCTTCGTTGCATTTCCCGTCCCTGAACTTGAAGTTGGTTAATTGTTGTAATTAGGTGGCTTCCACACCAATATTTTATTCATGTTTTAATTTAATGAAGCTGTTTTATTTTATTTTATTTAAATTTTGCGAATAGATGTTCCATACACTTCTTTCCACCGGTTGCTATCCAGAGATAACCTAGTTCAAAGGAGGAGACCTAAATGTGCTAACGGCCCCAATATTAGTGGTATCAAATTGCAATCTTTTGTCACATTGCACGGGGTAATTTTGCAGTTGTTATATTTTGGATGGTGTCATGAATCAATGTTATATTGTAGGAAGAATAAATAGAAGAAAACCATCATAATCAAGCACGGCAATGCTTGTAGAGGAAACTTATGGATCATATTGTAGGTGTTGACCTCTATACAAAGAAACAAAAAGAGCCAAAAAAAAAAAGGGAGAAATCCCGCGCACATACCTCAAACCCGTCGGATCCGCGAATCTTGCCGAAATCGCGCCGATTCGGCGCCGTTTGAGTCGCATCCCGCGATTTGTGCTTAGAACCGACCTTGATCGCTGCTCTTCGACATCTTTAAAAACCGACCAAACGAAGCCTTCGCTCCCCTGTTTGCTACTTCTCTTCCTCCCGCCTCTTCTCTGCTGAAGTCACCTGGAGCCCCTACCTTACCTTCCTTCTCGTTTGCTACCACATATGACCCCCATCCTCTTCCATTCGCAGCCTGATCGAACTCCATAACCTACCGATCTCCAATCTCATCCCTCCATGCCATCAGTCCAGTGAGAGAGAGAGAGAGAGGGAGAGAAGAGACCTACCTTGTCACACCCCAGTTTGGCTCACCCTCTACCACAAACTGAAGTATAACAGAGAAGGATTTCAACATATCAAACTCCACTCTTAACAACAGGAAGCATGTAATATTACTTATTGAACATCAACATAATTAAACAATTACAGAGCTCTACTAAAACTTTTGAACTTTACTTACATATCAAAAGGTTTATACAGCTATTATTCAGATCTCCTTGTACTCCAAAACATATTTACATCAAAAACAGATGATCACCTCTTTCTCGCCTAGTGCCCTATGGGCTCCTTTCCCTTACCTGCAGTACAACCACTGCTAATGAGCTATTGCCCAATGAAATACACCAACAATAGACAAGAATTAATAATAAACAAATAAGAAATGCTTAACAATGTTAACATATTGAAATGTCATATTGAGCCTGAAAGTG